TCTCGCCTATAATTCTAAACAGAAAAAAAAAATTTTCTTCATATTATTTTTTCTTAAGATTGTAGTCACAGCAGACTCATTAGCTCTATAGGAAGGGGCTTATGATTGCCAGAAAAAGGTGTGAGTTGTTTTCAGACAGAATTCCTCAATACTTACAAGGCATGTGACTTGGCCTCATGCCCTGAAGCCTGAGCTGATTAATTACAAGATGGAGATATTTCGCACAGAGATGGTAAGAAGAAGAAAGAGGAAGTGCTCACTCAGCAGCTATCAGGGGTAAGTAAGTCAAGGGTTGTTACTGACTGTAGAACATGATTAGATGCTTTGAAAAACATAAACAAGTGCTGTGCCCAAGGTGGTGGAGACACTACCCATCGGTTTTGCTCTTTGGAGGTTTCTGTCAGCACTGCCATCAAGGGGCCTCTATCTAGATAATTCTCTTATCCCTACTTTCGTGTTATCCTAATGTTTTAATAGCCTAGCATCTGCCAGAGTGGAACTCTGTTACTTCAGCTAAGTATCAGTAGCATTTGCATGCATCTGATAAGCCACCTTAAATGCTGGGAGTTTTTTCTGCTTTGCTTGGAACATTTACATCACATAATCAGAGCACTGGAAAGTGTCAAGGGCCCTGGAAAAGAAAGGGAGTGGTTCTTTCCCCAGGTTGCTCCACCTTATTCCTAATGGGTTTGGAAGAAAAAATAGGCATAATGGTGAACCTCAGATCCCACAAATAGTAATAATGGTGATAATTAATGGCTTTTAATTTATGTAACACTTTACTGTTTACAATTTCTAAAGTGTTTTACCATGCTCGATAACATTTGATCTATCCAACAACTATGTGAGATGCACATGAGAAACAATAGTCTCATTTTCAGGGCAGGATGCTGAGGCTAAGGAGATTTTACCAAGAACACAAAAGCAGTAATTGGTTGAACCCACCTAAACCCCAAGTGTTTTATTTATTGACATTTTCTTCTGTATGACATAGGTTGTAATGAAGAATTACCAAAGTGGTGATCAATATAGCACATTAGAAAAATAGAAACTTGAGACCAAGGAATAAATTTTAAGTAGCTGAACTGTAATAATTTTCATTACTTTCATCCAAGTTCCAGTAGATCTGAAAGAACCCCAAGGTTCATAAAAGTAGTGTAGGACCCAGCAAGAGCACTAGCATTAGGCAGATTTGCCATGATAACCAAGGCCTTCAACTGAGCAGCCAGGGCACACCCTGTTAGAGAGGCATACTTGGGTCACCACTATGGTGCACAAGGCACCCTTGACACTGGATTGTCTGGGCTGTGACCTTCAAGACTATGAAATACAGAGACAATTAATCCTTTTGAAAAGCTAAAGATTTTGGTGAGGAGGGCTAATTCACTTACAAACACAACACAATAACCTAGTATACTGGGTCTAGTCTCTAGATTGGCATATAAGTAAAATTAACAGTTATTGTAAAAGTATTGTTGCGAGAAAAATTAAAAGTAAGAAAATGAGAGAGTATATCAATAACTTTTTATGAGTTTGTGAATGGAAAGAGAGAGACGTCATCTCAGTATGTGGAGTTAATAAAGGATTTTTTTTCTTGTAGATGGAACATTTTTGTAATTGTAAGAATGCTCAATTACAAAAGTGGTAAACACTCTTGTAGATGGAACATTTTTGAGTATACTTACATTTACAAAAATGTGTCAATAGATATTCTGAATTTGAGTGGGAGCTTGGGTTCAGAGCATATTGACACTCTTATGGATTATCAACTCTTAGGCCCACCATGTGACATTTTCTCTCATGTGGGTCAAAGGTGGCCATGCATTAACATTTTCACATGGTTGGACATAGTAGGTTGGAAACCTTGATCTACTGTAAGTGTCGTCTTGAAGTTATGAATCAAATGCAGCTTGAGTTGTTGGTTTGGTATGAAGAAGTTGAAGGAATTCTCATCTAAATGACCAATCACCTTGTCTCTTTGAAGTGATAGAATGTGAGAGGGCAGAAGATAAGAATTGAAAATTTGAGGAAACTGGAGAAATTTGAACAGTTATTGAAGAAAATAAACAAAGGGGATGTATGAATGCAGGGCAGAGTTCTGGGCTTGAATGAATACACAATCCCTGTACGTTTGTGAAGAGCTCTGGGCAGAGATGAACGAACTTTCAGATAGTTCTATGTTACCTAGACTGTAGCTAGTATGAAGGAAGAGACAAGGGGCAGAGAATGTAGTGAAGCTCACGATGTCATGAAAAAATTTGTTTAATTGAGGAACTTAATTGTTCACAAGAAAAACGAAGACGAGGGAAGAGTATGCATGTGTATACATGCGTGTGTATGTTGAGATGACTATTGACACATTTGAAGAATTTAAAAATTAGAAGAATAAGTTAAGTGAGTTTTTAAATACTCTGATGCAGAAGAAGACAGTAAGAGGAAGTTTAGAATAGTGATAGAATCTAAAGTTATGATTCAGGTAGAATAATTTCAAGTCATAACAAATCCAGGGTGTGGATTTGGGAGTAGTGCTTTAAGAGATGATTATACAGATGAGAAGATCAAGGAAATGAATAACTTTTACTACAAGGCACAGATGCTGCTTAGGGTAAATGTAAACTTGATATAGAAAATGGCATAGAGATATACAGTAAGCACAATAAATAGGGCACCTATGAGGGTAGCACTGAAGAGAATAAGGGGGTGGGCAGTAGAATAGTGTGAATCTCAAAGGAACAAGACAATTTCACAAGGCCATGCAGAACAGTGGTCTAAAATAAACACTACATCCTTAATCATGAAGTACCTTGCAGTGTACAAGAATGAGAAACCTTTATTTGAGGCCATTAAAAATACTATGTCTTGAACAAAGAACTATATTTCAATAATTCAGGGGATTATAGGGCATAGTCAGTGTTAAAAGAAATTTACAGTGTAGAATGTTCTGGTAATCACAATTTTAATTGTGAAAAGTGTGTGCAGAAAATAATTCATTAAAAAAAATTTAATTGTGTTCAAAAGTTATCCAGGAAGATTATTACAGAGAATAATGTTTCAAATATACTAACAAATGGAATAGTTATTCTGTGTGTTGAAAATTTAAAACAGAACACATTTAAGTGAAAGATTATCCTAACTTTTATGTATAAACATACCTAGCCATAAATTAGCATAGATCTATTAGGGTCTTAAATCTTATTTTAAAGTATGTATGATTAAGAAAGAAAATGTGTGGGTATATGTTTATATACATACATATGTATATGTTCTGATAGACTTTTTATGTATTTGGAACAGGGTCTCACTAGGCAGATCTGACTTAATTGATCCTCCTGTTTTCAGCCTTGCCAGCGCTAGGATTACAGGCATGTGCCACCATGCCCAAAAATCCTGGAAATGGAAGTTAGCAAGAACAGAGACACCAAATGATTTCATGGTCTGGAGACAAGACCGTGAAATATAGGTCTTTTGCTTTTCCCAGATTTGGATTTCACTGTATTTTCCCAGATTCCTTGCTTTGGTCACTTGTCTCTTTATTTTTCTGCTGGCTTTCTTTTACCTTTAATCATTTATAATACAGAACTGACAATTAAATAAATCTTAACAAAAACTTCCTTCAAACTGTATGCCCCTCAGTGTCAAGCATGGTTCCAGGCACACACTTATAGTACTTGAAAAATATGTAACTATTAGGGAAAAAATGGATTAATTGAATTATTTCTATTGGTATGGTATCATCAATTTTCCTACATACTGGTGGTCTTAGGTAAATATAAAAACAAAAATAATCACCTGTTTCTATTATTACCCATTTAAAGAGTAAATCCTAATATGTAGAAGTCCTATACATTTATAACACAAATTAATGTGAAAAGATTTTTTTGTTTGATCATTATGTTTTGTCCTTCCATAAAGCAAAATTTGGGCCGGGAAGATGGCTCAGTGGAATAAGTGCTTCCCTAGCAAGCACAAAGGTCTGAGTTCAATCCCCGGTTCTGGAAAAACAAACAAACAAACCCTCAATAAAGCAAAATTTCATTTCTGACTATAGAGTGGGCAGATGGAAAGTAGAACATTTTAAATGATTGGAAAGAACTAAATATGTTATAAGAATTGAATTCTGTAAATCTACTTGTGTTTAATTAAATTTCATGTGCACGTATGCACTTATTACTAGTGATAAAATGTTACCCTAGCTATGTATCATAAGCGAAGGTATTTTCAGTTTTCTAATTTACCTTCTATTTGTAGGTGAAGAATTAATGTTGAATGCTGAAAAAATATTTTTAAAATATAGATAGGATCAGACAGGAAAATGAGAACTAAAATGTTTAAGATTTACTTTTATAAACTTCTAAATTTAATACTAATACAAAAATATTAGATCATTTATTTACCTCTTAATTTCTGTATGTTATATAAAAATTATGCTTCAATTTTTCTTAGTTTTTTAGTTTAAAAGGTAAACCATTTCTTATAGAATATTAGAACTAATCATTTTGAATTTTAATACTCACCAATTTCATAATGAGGAATAAAGTAAAGTACTTCCTTTATGACTTAGATGTTTTCTATATCTTCTATATCAATTTAGTGTATACTTTAGGGGGATTACAAGACCATTATGTATTCTGAACTCTTGAGTGAGGTGAGAATCATTCTTGCGTGTCCCATTGTGTATATGGAATTACAAATGTACTTCAAGGTCTCTGCTTTCCCTCCCATTTTTCTGTGACTGTCTCATTGTTTTACTAAGCTTTCCACTTTAATTACAACACTAAATTGTTTTTTTTTTCAGTCCAACATTAGTATTTTAATCCTAGATATAAAATCATTAGCACGTTTCCATGATATAGAGCACTAATATAATTATGTCATTATTTTTCCAACAAAAGAAGAGAAGAAAATGATCACATTGTCAGCTCAGAATAAATTCCAGTTTGAACTGGAGGCTAAACTAATGGAAAACAAGTATTTCAAAGATAAAATAAAACTGAACTTACTGATACATGTACACTGTTGAGAAGGCAAACTCCTCCACCTTCCTCCTGCTTTGTGATTTCCTCTCCAGATAAGCAGGATTCTGAGTATTCTTTTAGACTTGTGAACTGGCTGGAGTGAAGACTACTTAAGGATATGAAAGAAACTAGTTGAACAAGTTGGGATGCGTAAATGGTAACCAATAGCATGCATGGTTCAAGCTGAAGACTCACTTGATAAGTCTTTGTTACAGGAAATAAGAATTTCCTTGTTCTGGCTATTTAAAAAGTGAAACATCAAGCCCCAAACTTAAGCAACACCCTTAGGTATTATGAAAAATTTTGTGTTTGTCTTTCGAGGGGTGCCACTCCTCCTTCTGAGTCAGGACAAGCCTGATCTCAGGTCTGGCTGTTCATCTCTTTCAGGTGAAATCCTGAGACAACATCAGTGGTTTTCTTGAATCCTTGAATAGATCTTGACTAGGATTTTTTAGTGCAATAATGCCTGTCTGTATTAAATGTGGAAGTTAGGTGGAAATATTACAGGCAGTAAGACAGCACAAGGGCCCTCAAGAGACACAGTGCAAAAGATGACAACACATTATAACTGTGACCTTAAGCACATCTGTTGGAGGCCTCAAGATAGAGACAGAATGACCAGGCCTGCATTATTCCCCAAAGGATAAGGTGACTGGCCTCACAGGAGCCAATAGAGTCTAGGTAAACATCAGCCACTACAGTGGATGACCAAGACCTTAAGATCCATCCTTTCCTAAATAATGGTCTTGGTTCTTTTCATGTTCACTTGCCACATGACGTGCTTCCCCATTGGATCAATATTACCGGAACAACCATGTTTTTATTCTCATTGGTTGATCATAGATTTGGCCTATGTTGTATATGCCTCATTATTTTGTACCTGCCTCATGGTTTCACTCTATAAAAATTCCTCTGTGAAGGGGGGTCCATAAAAACCCTCTTTTAGGTCCTCTCCTGTCTCTCAGGAGCAAACCTTCTCAAAAGGTTTGGATGATTTTAGCTGTGTGAGAGAGTGTCTGACTGAGGTATCTAGGAAGGATAGATAGTTGAGTGAGGGATAAAAATGATGAGCAACACTGAGAAAAAAGGATTGGAGCAGGAGAACATGAGAAGTAAAAATAGTTACCTATTTGGGGGAATAGTCTGAGAGGGTTACTTGTGACTATAGGTCTCAGATTATGATATGTAGGAAGCAAGAGGGTGAATAATGGGGAATTCTTCTATTAGGATGGTAAAAAATGGACAAAGTTATAAAGAGAGAGACTCACAGGGCTGTCTAACTGTGTTGTCCTCTAGCTGTCACAGGAGGCAGCCCAGAGATCTTTAGGGATTGAGTTCTGTTGGTTGCACTGAAAAAGGGAGCCTTTATGGAGAAAAGTGTACCCAGGAAGAATGACCTGTTAACCTTGCTCCTGTTAAGGTGGTCAGGATTGCTTGAGATATCACTGTCCATTTTGAATTTAATCCCTGAGAGTATTATATGGGGGTGTATACACCAGGTCTCCAGGATGTAGAAACAGAGGAAGGAGTAGGTTGCTGGAGGGTTGGGATGGTGTGTGTGTGGGGGGTCAGCATAGTTTGATGAGATGCCTACGGGTGTTACTGAGACACTTGAAGGAGGACTGGGGAGGTATGGATTGAGGTAGGGAGTGTGAAGAAGTCAATGAGGGACCTTCTGTGTTGATTCTCAAAGGGGCGGAGCATAAAAGCCTTTCAGGAAAGATACCAGAGTTTGAAAAGGGCCAAGGATAGGAGCCTAGACAAGTCTAAGTGGGCCTTTTGGGAAAACTTGATTAGGCTTTGTATAAGGAAGTGATTGATAAGCCTTTTTAACCCTACCTAGAGATCGGGGTTGGTATGGGATATAGAACTTCTGGATTATATTCAGGTAGGATGCTGCTTGCTGGGTGATGTGTGAGGTAAATTTGAGTCCTTCATCAGTTTACATTTTTATTTATTTATTTATTTATTTATTTATTTATTTATTTTTTATGTATTTAGGACAGGGTCTACAAGGTCAACAGAGTCTATAGGGTCTCACTACATAGATAGGACTCGATTCTCCTGTTATTTTCAGCCTTTCAAGCACTGGGATTACAGGTGAGTGCCACCACGCCCAGTCTTAGTCGCAGTCTCAGTATGCTTTGGGGGCAGGGCCGGCAGGGCATGTCAGGTATGGAACCATGGTCCCTGCATCTCTCTAAGCAGGTGCTTTAATCTGCTGAGCTACCTGGTTGGCCTTTACCTTTATCAGTTTAGATAAAGGTTAGGAGTCCAAAAAGGGGGGTAATTTCAGTGAGTAGGATATGTGCTACCATGGAGGATCTTTGGTTTGATGTTTGAAGGCCTCTATCCATCCTGAGAAGGTGTCAACCAGGGCATGGAGGTTTTTGGCATTTTGGTTTGTTTTATTCTTTTTACTGGAGGCATGTAAGTAGAGTCTATTAGCCAGTCAACACCATAGTGGGATCCCCAAAATTGATAGGTGGAGAAGGGAGAAGTTCTGAGGGGGTTCCAGGGCTCTGTGTTTGGCATATGGAGCACTGGACAATAATCTTTTGCAGGGAGGTCCTAAAACTAAGGGTGAGGTGTATGTGAGCTGTAGGAATTGGAGCAGAGTGAAGGATCCAGCATGAGTCTGGTTGTGGAAAGATGAGAGGAATTGGTTTTGCAAGCTTTCAATAAGGACCAATTTTTTTTTTTTTTTTATGCAGAAACCACCAGTTTCTCTTGGTGTAGCCCCTCTTCTTTAAGTAGAATTATTTCTTGGGGTGAGAAGGAAGGTATAATAGGGAAAAGGAAGTAGGGAAGAGAGAGAGCTGGCAGCTGCCTGTTTTGCCACTCTATTAGTCTCATTCCCCCCACCCCAAATGATGTCTGAGATGTGCGTCCCACAAGTCAGGTCTTTGATGGCTCTTGCAATGAATCATAGCAGCTCTATGGGGTGAAAAGATCACTCCTAAAGGTCTTGAATGAGGGCCCATTTTGTATAGAAGGATATTTGCAGTAAGGATATTCCCTTCCATGGCAATTTGGGCTCCGCCTGAGGGCCCCAAAAGAAATTTGAATTCAATGTGTTTCTTCCACTCTTTCTCAGGGATTTCAATGGAAGCTTCATAGAGGAGTTTTGCAATGAATGAAAAAATTTGGGATCCAAAGCCTAAACTAGCTAAGAAGTCCCAGGAAAGAAAGGAGATTTTTTTCCAGACTTGGTATTCTTTTATAGAGGCAGAGTAGAGAACTATAAGCCACACACACACACACACACACACACACACACACACACACAAACACACACCCTAAAACAAACAACACAGGGCAAGATGTGGATGACTGACACTGCAAAATCATCACATGCTTATCTTTTACTTCAAAATATCACATGATTATCTGAATATCATGTACTTGAGAAATGTACCCTACTGTATGCTTGAGAAATGTATTCCTTGTGAAAGTATCACTCACATATACTGCCTGTTTAAGAAATCCCAAACTGACCTTGTCTTCTTCCCAGAAACACAGGCTGAGACCTGAGACCCTGATTGGCCTAGGTTGCAGCAATCAGTAAAACAGTAAGTTTTAGAAACAAGCTACCCCTATAAATATTAGTTACACCTCAGACTCACTGGACATCCTATATGGGATGGGCTCTGCCTTGAAACTCACCCTGCTAAAATATCTCCTCAGCTGTGTTCCCTCCCACACCTTAAATAAACTTGTGTTGGGCAGCACTGGGTCTGCCTAGGAAGGACAAAGTCCTGAGTTTGATGCCACGTTTCAAACAAACAAAAAACCAAACTTCTGTTTCACATCATATCAGTCTTCACTCCGTTTTCCACTAAGAGCCCCATTTCTTCACTCCCCACCAGTGTGAGGACAAGGACCTGGAGAGACGCTGAAGGTCATTATAGGGGTCCCTAAGCCCCCTCATCAGAGACTTCCCCAATCAGGGATAAAACTTTTTGCTCCAGAATTTAAAGCAAGACAGAGTGAGCTATAGAGTCATTTTTGGGGAGCTGGCAATTAAAAGGCCATTCACAGTAGGTGGCTGGGAAATGGGTGAGGGACTGGAGGTGCTGTAGTAATACTTGGCCAAAGAAATGGGGGTATCTGAAATCCCTGAAGAAGAACTGTCCATGTGATCTGTTGGGTGGACAGAGATTAGGAGTCTGTTCAAGTAAAGGTGGAAAGTTGCTGGGAAATCAGGGCTGAGGGGAGCAGTAAAGAAGGCATTTCTGGGGTCTAGAACAGAGTCCCAGTCCAAGCTCAATCATTTAATGTGCTTTTCCTTTACTTCAGTTTTACAGTCGCTATTCCCTTCTGTCCCTCATTTTGAGAAAAGGTTTTAGCAAAGAAGAGACATATGATTTATGAATGCTAATTATAAATAATTTATATAAATATGGAAAGAGAAAAATCCAAATGACAAAGAAATAAAATATTATAAGGCAGGGAAAGCCTGTAATGCTAGCACTATGGGAAGTTGAGGCAAGAGGATTGAAAGTTTGAGGCTAGTTTGAATTAATGCTTCCCTGTGGAAAAACAGAAAGTTAAATGTAGCTCAATGTGAAGGCCTTGGGTTCCAACCACACTATGATAAGAAAAAATTGTGTATTGTCAACTTTCTGTTTCTATATAATAGATTATCTTGAGTTGAGTTCATTAAACCAACAGCTGTTTATTATCCAGTTTTCTCCACTGTTATTCTCTAAGTCAGACATCTAGGTCTGGCTGGGATTTGCCCAGAGTTGGTGGTGAAGAGTCACCAGACTGTTGGCAAATGTTTCCTCGTAGCAGGACTGAGCAGCCTGCTGCTTGCCCTCAGCCAGTGCTGTCTTCGGCCTCTATTCCTGCAAATGGAATCTCTCCTTCAGGAAAGCTAAATGGGTATCTCCTCACTCTGGAGTCTCTACAACTTTTTTCCTACTTGGAAAAAGGCTATTTCTGAGGAGCAGGCCCTTGAAGAGCTGCCTTGCCTCTCTCATGGTGTGAGTGTGAAGTAAGAACATGCTTTCTCTATCTCTACCAGACACTGTTTTAATCTTAGATTTCCAAGCTTCTA